GTATATTACTCTTTTTCTTCTTGAATTATTGTACCATGTTTTAATTCTTTTCACAGTTCTGGAGCGGGATGTCTAACATCTTGTCAGAGGATGGGCAGGAGCGTGGTCATTATAGGGAAATATCTTGGCAATTTCTAAAAATCTTACTCCAGGGGCTATGGTTTGTATGTGCTTATAAATTAAGTCTTTATTTTTAACAGTGATATCCCAAAAGCTCCTAAACCTGAACCTCCTGTACCAGAGGCTAAGGAAACCTCACCAGAACGTAATTCAAAGAAGGAGAGAGAGAAGGAGAAAGAGAAGACTCGTCAAAGATCCCCAACTCGGTCCAAGTCAAGGTCAAGATCTCGATCACGTTCTCCATCTCATTCTCGGCCTAGAAGGCGTCATAGATCACGGTCGAGGTAGGACTTCAATTTATCTTGATCGTGAAGGTTGAGAACAGAATGTTTTTTTTCTGAAGGTGCCACTCAATGTAATGTTCTCAGTTAAAGTAGTGATGTTTTTAGAGAGGTGTTGAGCTCTGGATGTTTTAGGCCAAATGAGAAGGATGCATTTAATGGTTAAACCTGTTCGGGAGTTGTTTTCTTCCTATCAGTTCATGAGAAGGTGCTTACAGTGACTAACACTGGAGAAAGAATGGGGCACTTACTGCTGAGTATGATACTTGTTAGATAGTGGGAATTGTGTAGCCTTCTTTTAGGAGATCAGTTTGATGCTGAAGATGATGTAAATTTTTTTTAACCTTTTTTGGATTGTTTTACTTCTTAGTAGAGAGGTGTTGGTAAACTTCAAAGCACTTGATTGTGTCTGAATATACTATCTGGCATCACAATCTAAATGCTACATTAATGTGATGCACTTGGAGAAAACCAACTTTACGCTCAGTGCCCTGAGGTTAAACTTCCTCAAATCTGGAAATTAGATAGCTGCTTTTCATTTGAATTTTTGATTGTGACAGGTCTTACTCCCCTAGAAGGCGACCAAGCCCGAGACGACGGCCATCTCCAAGGAGGAGGAGCCCTCCAAGGCGAATGCCTCCCCCACCCAGACACAGAAGAAGCAGATCCCCTGTGAGGCGGTAAGATTCACTTTTTTGAGACAACTGAAAATGTTAAACTTTGAAAGTTGAAGGGAACATTAGTTGAATTAGGAATGAGTGTTACCAGAATTACCTTGTTCATCTTACCTTGTTTCTGTCAAGTATATGATTTGAGTGATATAAAAACTGCAGTGTCATATTTCATAAGTGTCTTCTGGGGAAACATAATAGTAGCTGTGAAATGATTTCTTTTGAGTTGAAATAGTGATGAGAATTCCACCTTTTTGAAAAGTGGCAATTTCAGAACTTTAACTTCTTCAGATGGCTCTGGATAGCTTCCAGTGTAGATTGACCTGACATCTTTTATAACTTTTTTCCTTAAGTCTTCATACGTTTTTTTTCCTGCCTGGGGAAAAAAATTAGCACAGGTAACTGGATTTTACTTGTTGGGAGTTTTTAAATTATGACTTGCATTTCCATCGGATAAAATAAAAATTAAATTTTTAATGGAAATGTTTCTTCATGTTTTTTTACTTAAAAAAGTCTTCAAGGCCTGCTCTCTGCTGTTGGAGGTTACATTTTTGACAGCATAAGCAATTGTTCGAGTAGCACAGCTTTGAGTTGCCTTGCAAAGAAAATCTGTACTTATAGCAATGTTAAAATAGACATTTGTCTTCATAGGAAGAGAATAGATTCTTATCCTCTTCACAGGAAGAGAATTAAAGTGATGCTTCCTGTGTACAGCAGTTGTTCGTGGAAGGTGTTCCTGCCCATGTCAGGGGGGTTGGAACTAGGTGATCTTTAAGGTCCCTTTCAAGCCAAACCATTCTAAGATTCTATGATTTCTATGACAAGGTGATGACTTATTTTTCTGAGACTGTAAAGATGTTATTTTTGCACAGTTGCTGGGAAAACTGTGAAAACTATCAAACGTGTATGTTGCAAGATGTACAAGAGTTCCCTTTCAGCAAATGTTTATCTCACTCAAGGTAGGGTTTCTTTTTTCCAGGTTCTCAGGAATTCTGCAGCCAAAGGTGGATTCTGCAGGTACACAATTGCAACAGAACTTGCCACAAATTTTGCCGCAGAATTCTAGAGGCCCTACCTTTTTAAAATTACAAAGTAAAGATGAAAGACTAAAACATGAGAACAGATAGATTTATTTTGAATTGTTAAGTTGTCTGAAATTTTTACCTCCTGGTATAAAAAGTTTTTAGTGTACTTGCACCCTAAGCTCTTAAACAGATCTGTTCTGAAGATCATTAAATCACATGTGCTAACACAGAGAATTCTCTTTAACCATCCAGAAGTTAGAGAGCCCAAACAAAACTAATTGCTCCCAGGAGAAAAGCTTAGTTGTAGTCTGTAGATTGACAGAAAGCAAGCAAAGGTAACACTAACAATTTTTTTGCTCACTATGTAGTTTAAAAATATCTGTGACGGAATGGTTGTTGTTTTCTTCTTCTACAAACCAAGTGTTGAAGGCCGTCCACCGTGTTTTGGAAGCGCTGTTGTATGTGGCTCTATATGTGTGCTTGCAAACAAATGCAATTCTGTGTTCATGCTCAAATATTTTTAAGCTAACTAGTCAGAGTCTAATGTTATATTTGATTTACAGGAGAAGACGGTCATCAGCATCCTTATCTGGCAGTAGCTCTTCCTCCTCTTCCTCACGTTCCCGATCACCACCAAAGAAACCACCTAAAAGAACTGTATCCAGTCCTCCTCGTAAAACACGTAGGCTCTCTCCTTCTGCAAGCCCTCCTAGGCGGAGGCACAGACCATCCCCACCAGCAAGTCCACCTCCAAAACCACGTAGGTCTCCAACACCCCAGCAGTCAAATCGTGCAAGAAAAAGCCGTGGCTCTGTCTCGCCTGGCAGAGCATCAGGTAATCAAATAAATTTGTCTTCCAACAGCTTTATTGTTTTGTGCTTTTGTTTTCTCCAAGATGGTGTGTACAGTTTATATGAGCAGAAAAGCACTCAAGAATGTAATGAATTGCAACTGAGTTGTTTGACTTTGTCTTTTAGCACCCAAACGTAAGAGTACTGAGAAAAGAGAATCTCCTTCGCCAGCGCCAAAACCAAGGAAAGCAGAACTGTCTGAATCAGGTATGGCGCTCTCTTTTCAATGCTGGTTTTGGGTTGGGTTTTTAATGAAAGGTGCGTGACAATAAGGCAGTGATGAAGTGCTGACCCTCTTGATAGACTGACGTTGAAAGCAGGAGTTTTCAGAAGTATAAAGATGATCATTTATACTGCCTCAAACACTTCTATCCAAGTGTTCTTGGAAAAAAGCTCAGCCAAAGTGCATTCCAGACCCGATGTTATCTTAAGATTTTGGGGGGGGCGGGGAGTATGCTTGATGATCTACTGTAATCTGACTTTGCTTCTGCCTGACTAAGGTGAATTTGTATCTTTGGTTTAAATATTCCATCTATGTATGTACCTTTTCAGAAGAAGATAAAGGAGGTAAAATGGCTGCAGCAGACTCTGTTCAACAGAGGCGTCAGTACAGAAGGCAAAATCAACAGTCTTCATCCGGTATGGATGAGATAAATTTCCTAAAACTGGATTGTAGTTTACTTTTTCCGGAAGTAGTTAATATTAAATTCAAATACCAAGTAAAATTATTTGCTATGTGCATTGCAGTGCTATTGTAAACTTAGTTACAGATTTACCACTCATAATGATGTTACTTTAATAACTGCTCATGAAGAATAAAGTATAACTTTTATATTTCTTGCTAATGGGTTCACATCTTCAGAAGCTGCACTTCTAAACTCTTAACACCACACAGACAAATATTGTTTGCTATGGATTACTTAATTTGTTGTTGCAATAGGTTATTTCCTAATATTATGGATTCTTGTATGCTTGAGATCAGTAAATGAACTTGGACTTGGTATAAGTTTTTTCCACTTAATGTTTCTATAGGTTAACTGTAGTTCACTTTTTTAAATTACCTAGCTAGTGAAATTTTAGGTGGACAGTTAGGTTGCTGCAAGTATTTTTACCCAGCTTGGATGGATTTATTTATCACTTCAACTGCTTTTAAATAGAGGCTTCTTATTTTGTGGGAGAGGAGGTTAGTAGTTTAAACTGCAGTATAACCCTATCAGGAACTACCGTGTTAACAGTGTCATGAGAATAATTTTCCAGAGAGTGATTCTTCTACATTTACAGATTCTGGTTCTTCATCTTCATCTGAAGAGGAAAGACCTAAAAGATCCAATGTGAAGAATGGGGAAGTTGGTAGACGTCGACGCCATTCACATTCACGCAGTCCATCACCATCTCCACGAAAACGACAGAAGGAATCCTCCCCTCGGTAATTTCTTAAGTTGAATGTAACTGCCGCCTTTTTTTTTTTTTCCCCCTAACTTTAGCTATTGTTGCTTACGTGCTATGCAACTGTCAGCAAATACACTAAGAGAATTAGTCATGTCCAGTTTGCTCAATCTTGTTTCAACGTTGCATTCTTGTTACGCTCATTTGATAAGAATTACTCTGAACTTTATTTGAATATGTTGATTTTTGCCTCAAATATATGGTAGATAGATTTGTTTTGTTTTGTTTTTCCTCCACTGCTATCAGGATGCAGATGGAAAAGAGGTGGCAATCGCCAGTGATGAAAAGGTTGGTTAGAAATTAATCTGTTAAATAGGATTTACATATAGAAAATAATTTAGACAGGCTCTCATTTATTTTGTCATAGGTAAGTACTTGCCATTCTTTGTCCTTGCACACTCGAAGTAGTAAGGTGAGGCAAATTCAGACTGATGTGTTCCTTAATGTGTTGGATCTGGAACCATTTCACTGAAAAAAAAAACAAAACCAAAACAAACAAACAAAAAAACACCACCAAAAAAACCAAAACACCTGCTCTGTCTCCTTCATTGCTCACTGTTTGTTAATTCACATAAGCCTGTAACAGCTAATAACGTTATTAGCATCTTACTGATGCCTGAAAACACCTAAATGCTTCCGGGGTTTTCTTATTCCATATACACAGATTTGAAAGAGGGGTGAGCATTACTTTGTATTCTTGCTGCCGTTGACATTCTGACTAAAAACCCTCCTGTAGACTTGCAACAGGCAATTAAGACCTTGACGTTCTGGGTCACAGATAATTGGAATGTTTAAATGTCTCATTCCTCAATTCATTAGATATTTGGGACTACTAGTAGTAGACAAGTAGTAGACTAGTAGTGAACACCTACTTTATTTTTTCTTATGTAGGCTGTATTGTTAACACTTTTATTTGTGAAATTGTTTGCTCTATGTTGATCTCAGAATATAGGAAGATGCAGGAAGCTGTGTGCTTCATGGGTTTATTTATCTGATACAATGACCCTCGTGAGCCATCTGTAACTAAGACCTGGCTAGAATATAGTCGCAGCATACATAATGGTGTATGAGATCAAGTATGACTACTTCTAAAAATGCTAGATCATTCTAATTATGGATCTTGTCAAACAATTCTATGTAAAACAGACTGGAATTCAAACATCTTAATCTGTTTTGCAATATACTAAATTTACTTGCTGCCTATTTTCAGATCATAAAAGAATGTTGTCTTTTGGAGCAAACTCTTATTTATAAAAATAAATATGTAACTTTCTGCCTTGGAGAACAACAGCCAACATATTTGAAATAAAATCTCAGCTTATGTAGATGAACTTATTTGCTTTTTCATTATTCTCATTTTTCTTTTGTCCAGTCATTTTATCTTTATTGCTTTTAAAAAAAGGGAATGTTTTACTGTACAAAATACCAATATTACTTTCCTTTAAAAGTCTAAGAAAGTATATGTTTGATAAAAGTATCCCCTCCCAGAAGTCTGTTGTAAACCTTGCAGAGCAGAAAATGGCTGATTTTATGAATAATTTTAATCTAGATAGCTGCTGTTTAACAACGACTCTGATTTTTCTCTGTATTTCAAGAAATAAGTTAATTTTGGATTTCAGGTCCATAGGTAAATGCTGTTTTTCAGGAGTACAGTTTCACACTGTTTCGTCTGATCTGACTTCAGACTGCTGCTGAACGCAGTTTTGTTCTGCCTGACACAGTTGGGCATTCCCAGTTCCTCCTTTGTGTTGGATCTAGCAGTCTTGTTACTGCATGATGACAAAGAGATGTTTTTGTGGGATTATTCTCCTGGTGGATCAGTAAGCTGGTCTGACTCATTAGATTATCACTAGATTCAGTGCAAGGGAAATGGCAGAAATGAGCTTTCAGGAGAAGAAAATGGGAGAGAGTTGGGCTTCCAAGATGCAAATAGACCAGGTTAAACAGAATGTGAAGTTCTCATCACTGCTGCAGTGGGCTCTGGGAATTACAGTAAAATATTTGTTGTCTCACACTAATTTTTTTCCATCAGTGGTTCAAACAGTTTCATTTTTAAGTGTATGAACAAGATGATTTTGTATAGTGAAAGCGGAAGAATAAAAAAGAATCTCATGGCTCAATTTGCAACTTCTCTGAGGAATCCTTTTATCTCTTTAGCAGGAGGAGGAGAAGTCCATCGCCCCCACCAGCCAGGCGGCGACGCTCTCCGTCACCTGCCCCTCCTCCTCGGCGGCGGCGGTCACCTTCATTACCTCGTCGAAGGTAGCGTATTGCATTTTTGTCATGAAGTCGGTTGCTCTTGGTTTGTTGACTTTCCAACTATGACGTGTAAAAAGAAATGCCATGGTTAAGGAAACCAGTCCCTTGATTCATAGCTTACTGAGGGGAATATAGGGGTTTTTTTCTGTGGCAGGTGTGTGGCCTGGATATCATTTGCAGAAGTTTGGTATTAAATACAGTTTAAAAGAATTTAGAGGAATTTTTTCCTTTCTTTGGGTGAATTGCAAAACACTTGTAACTAATTCACATGCCTGTGTGGCACCTGAACATCTGTTTTCCTTGTAGGTCTCCATCACCACCGCCACGCAGACGCTCACCTTCTCCACGGAGATACTCTCCACCGATACAGAGGCGATATTCTCCTTCTCCACCACCTAAGAGAAGAACAGCTTCTCCTCCTCCCCCACCTAAACGAAGGGCATCACCTTCTCCACAGTCAAAACGCAGAGTCTCCCATTCACCACCACCCAAACAAAGGAGCTCGCCAACTGCTAAAAGGCGTTCACCTTCGATATCTTCCAAGCACAGGAAGGGGTCTCCTCCCAGTAGGTCCAATCGAGAAACACGTTCTCCACCACAAAACAAAAGGCATTCACCTTCACCACGGCCTAGAGCTTCTCATACCTCTGCAAGCCCACCGCCACCACGAAGGGGAGCTTCAGCTTCACCCCAGAGAAGACAGTCTCCATCTCCAAGCACGAGACCCATCAGGAGGGTGTCGAGAACGCCAGAACCTAAGAAGACAAAGTAAAAATATCCATCTTTATTGGTGGTGGTTTTGTGAGGAGTTTTTTGTTTGTTTTGTTTGAATGCAGTGGGAATAGCTAGGCAGTCACATTAAAATAGTTCTCGTATATCTTGAGCCTGCTCAAGTGTGTGTGGCTCTGTTTGGCATTCACTGTCATAACATTGATTTTCAGAAGTTTATTAGATTGGAAGCATCTGTTAAAATAAAGTGCAACATGGGGAGAAGCATCGAAGAGGCTTTATGTAGATGTTTGAGGGGTCTTTTAATAGCCCAACAAAGCACTGCAACCGAGCAGGTGAAAAGAAGTTTGAGAGAAGTTTTGTGTCTAGCTTTGTGTAAAAAAAAAAACCACAAACAACCAAAACTTTCTCTTATTTTAAAGTTAACTGCAGAAGAGAACCAACGCCTCATTAGCTCATAAATTATTTCATAAGAGATCATGGAAGACAAAACATTTAGAATGTTAGCAGTTTTCTTTAGTGTGATGCTGCTCTTACGAGCAGATAGTCAAAGGTATGGTGGTGGTTTATTAATTCAGAAACAAAATGTAGCTGAACATGTCTCGCACCCTTTCTTCATTGGATAATAAAATAGCATTGCTATTCTGTTGACTTTTAATGTGGTTATAAATCAGTCATATCAGAAGAAAGGGAGCAATCGTTTCTGAACAACAATAGTAGTATTGTTTAACAGGCTATTACGTTGCAATATCCTTTGGCATTACGCATCCACAATGGTATTAAGATTGTTTTCCCATTGTAACACATGCCAGCAAAGTAGCTAATAATTTTTTTATGTGGCAGCTTAACTGAGTTATAAGCACATATGTTCATTTGGCGCTCTTGTCAATTTTTACTTTCTTGTTTTGTCTCTTATCTCTAATTGTGGCCCTTCTATTTTTAAGGGCTTCCACGCCGAGTCCACGGTCTGCGAGACGGGTGTCTTCATCACGGTCTGCATCAGGATCACCTGAGGCAGCACCAAAAAAACATCAAGGACCTCCATCTCCTACTCGGTCTCGTTCTCCTTCTGCAAACTGGTCACCTGCAAAAAAGGCTAAAAGCCCGACGCAGAGCCCATCACCTGCAAGGGTATTTGTTTGCTAATAAAAGCTATACTGTTTTGGGTTATATAGCAAGTTATTTTCCTGAAGACTTAGTTGCTGAACAGCTCTAAGCTCGTTCACATGGATTAAAAAAAAAAAAATATCCTTGGAGTGATTTCCACCCCCTACCCCCCAGTTACAAATTGTTTTTAAGAGGTTTTTAACATAAATTTTTCAAACTTAACATCTCTGAGTCTAGAAAAAAGAGCTATTAAATACACATTTTAACTTCTGGAAGAAAAGACTGTCCACCTTCATGGTCTACAAAGTGAGATGGTCTTATTTATGCTTGGCAGTCTTGCGTGCAAACTCAGGCTATTCCTAATAGGAACAGAAGAGATTGTCTGGCATCCTTATCTGTTTAACTAAGGTGTTTCCTAGGGACACTTCCAGTCTTTGCCAGAGGAGTATTTGAGGGAGTTAGACTCCACCTGCAGTATTAATTTTTATGAAGAGGCTTGCCTGTCATCGCTGTGATCAGCACATGGAGTTGGCGTGGTGTTATGTTCTGGTTTGAGACACAGCGTGAGCCGTGTGTTACAGCATCTTTCTGGCATTGCTTCTGTCAGTTGGTTGGGAACGTGACTTTTCCCCGAGTTCTGAAGACAGTGTTGAGTTTATTTGGTTTCAGATGTTTTGCAGTCCATTCAAATTTCCCAGGATGGTTGTGGGCTTGTTTTAAAGATATTTTGAAGCCTTAGGAATGAGTTGTGTAATACCTGTTGAATTGTTTGTTACAGAATTCGGATCAAGAAGGGGGTGGAAAGAAGAAGAAGAAAAAGAAGGATAAGAAGCATAAAAAGGATAAAAAGCACAAGAAACACAAAAAACATAAGAAGGAGAAGGCTGCAGCGGCTGCAGCAGCTGCTGCTGTGGCTGCAGCAGATACCACCTCAGTACAGGAAGACCAGGAAGCAGAGACAGAACCCAAAAAGGTAGGAGTTTGGTACCTAAGTTTTACTTTTTAAGAGCCCAGTATAAGAAAATAGATGGAGATGAGTGTACACCATGCTCTTGCTGTTCTAAACAGCAGTCTTCAGAAACGGTACTTAGTGCCTATGATTTTACTTGATGATTTGCAATATTGGGAGGGCTGCAGCCTGGCTTAGCTTACAGTGTTTGAAGAAATGCTTTATCTTTGTTTGAAGGAGACAGAAAGTGAACCAGAAGACAACCTTGATGATCTAGAAAAACACCTGCGAGAGAAGGCACTGAGATCGATGAGGAAGGCGCAAGTGTCACCACCATCCTAGGCTGAATCCTTTGATACAATGTACATTTTATTTGGTTTGTACTCAGAATTCAATTTCAAATTGCTAAATGTGTTTGAGCTTTAGAATATAACATTTGTTGTAATAATTGCTAGGTTGAGGTTCACCGTGTACAAAGGGCATGGATTTACATTACAAAAGGTGTCCACAGTGTACTAGTGACATTCTTTCATTGACAGTCAACATAATTTCATTTAGAGTGAGACTTTTTAGAAGCAGTAGGAATTTGTTTTGAAGGTTTTAAACATGACCGTCAATTCCCTAGTTTCTTTGAAATTCAACAAAGCCTTTAGCATAATTTGTGAGGGTCTCATTTGACTTCTTTTGTATCCACTTACATTATGCTACTAACCTTTGTGGTTTGTAAGCTCGCCCAGAAGTAAAACCACTGCAGAATTACGAAGGAAGTACATATATTTTAACGCTTTCTACTGTTGCCTGTATAGTCTCCATTAAAGCGAATCAAGAATAGCAATTTAGAATGGTACATAAATGAAAGCATGTTGTTTACCAGGACACTGTGGGTTTATATTGATGTAACATGTTGATTTGGAACACTGGAATTTCATTTGTATTTTTATGTTCTTTTTTTAAAGGGCAGTTTCCATGATCAGCAGTCCCAGAAAAAAATTCCTTCAGTTACATAAATTTTGTTTGTGAGATGTCGTTGCCCCATTCATAAATCTTGTCTCGTTACGGTTCTTCTGGATGGTATAAGCAACTTTCAGAGATGTGGTCTTTGAAAGTTTGAGGAACCTGAACTTTGGATATTGTCATGTTTTCACTGTTTTTTGTTTTTGTTTTTTTTTTAACTAAAGCTATATAAAGCTTGTGGATTAAACGAAATAAATTTCTAAATTTAAACAGATGTTGGCTATTTTTATATGAACATTTACATTTGCTAATCAGCTTTCTTTTGTACAGGGTTAATGAATACACAGATATGAAAAAGTATTTGATCCAATATGCTGGCTTCTGAAAAATTGGGGCTTTTGTTGTTTTTAACTGTCCTGGGGTAGCAGAAATAGCCCTTTGTTAGTTCAGTGATGCTCCCGTTGTGTCTGGATTGGTGTTCTTGCAAAGCAAGAGTAAAACAGTCTACCTGGTCAGCACTCTCTTAGGATGGATAAGCTTAAAACAAACCAACCAACCAAACACTTGCTGGTGAAAATTGCTTGTCACCGCAAGTAAAATGTTTCAAGGTCCTGCAAAAAAATAATGGCAGGTTTGCATTAACTTAGTTAACAAGCTTTAGTCATGTAAACACTGGTTTTGAACGCTCATCTAAAGAGTCCTGATGGCTTGCTGCCTTTTTCATAATCATATTTGAGACTTGCTGGATTGCTGCTGTCGAATTCTTTTAAAAATTCAAGCTCTGTTTCTGAAACCAAGTCAATTCTGAAGTCTAAGGTTCCTCTGGAAGGAGGAATAGAACATGCTTTTGAAAATTTTTGTCCTGCATCTGAAGTAGATGTGATGTGCACAATTAAGTGTAGATATTTGATTAGTCTTTTTACTTGACATCGTGTAG